TGCAATTTACATTCCCACCAACAGTGCACAACACTAGTTGTTTCTTGTCTTTTTTTTTTTTTTACAATAGTCATTCTAACAGATGTGAGATGATATCTCATGGTAATTTTAATTTGTATTTCCCTGATAATTTGTGACATTGAACATCTTTTAATGTACCTGTTATCTATCTGTATGTCATCTTTGGGAAAATGTCTATTCAGATCTTCTGCCCATTTTAAATTGGATTGTTTGTTGTTTGTTTACTATTAAGTTAACATTAGGTTTTTAAAATATTTTTTTGGATTTTATTCCTTTATCAGATATAGGATTTGCAAATATTTTCTCCCATTCCATAGGTTGCTTTTTCATTTTGTTGCTTGTTTTCTTTGCGAAGTTTTCTTAGTGTGATATAACCCCACTTTATTTTTGTTTTCCTTGCTTTTGCTTTTGGCATCAAATCCAAAAAAATCATTTTCAAGACCAATGTAAAGGAGCTTACTGCCTATTACTTTTTGTAGGAATTTTATGGTTTTAGGTCTTACATTCAGGTCTTTAATTCATTTTTAATTAATTCTTATATATTGGGTAAGATAATGGTCTAATTTCATTCTTATGCATGTGACTATGCAGTTTTCCCAATACCATTTATTAAAGACACTGTTCTTTTCCCATTGTATATTCTTGCCTTCTTTGTCATAAATTAATTTAACACATATGCATGAGTTTATTTCTGGGCTCTTTATTCTGTTCCATTGATCTTGTGTCTGTTTTTTAGGCTAGTACCATACTGCTTTGATTACTATAGCTTTGTGATATAGTTTGAAATCAGGGAGTGTGATGCCTCCAGCTTTGTTCTTCTTTCTCCATATTGCTGTGGCTATTCATGGTCTTTTGTTGTTAGGTCAAAATTTATGGATATTTGTTCCATTTCTGTGGGGGGGAAATGCCATTGGAATTATTATTATTTTTTAAAAATATATTTTTATTAATTTCAGAGATGATGGGAAAGAGAAACATCAATGATGGGAGAGAATTATTGATTGGCTGCCTCCTGCACACCCCCTACTGGGGATCAAGACCACAGCTCTGGCAAGGGCCCTGACTAGGAATCAAATTGTGATCTGGTTCATGAGGCAACACTCAACCATTGAGCCACACCAGCCAGGCACCACTGAAATTTTTATAAGAATTGCATTGAAACTGTTTATTGTTTTGGGTAGTTTGGACATTTTATCTATTCTTCCAATTCATGAGCATGGAATGTATTTTTATTTATTTGTGCCTTCTTTAATTTCTTTCATTGATGTCTTATATTACTAATGTTGTAAAACATGTAAAATTGTTATTAGGCATGCTTTATATTGTACCCAGGCATGATTCAGCTGAAGACAATACAATTTGCCTCTGAACTGGAGGTAGAATCCAAGCCTTCTTACAAGTCTTCAGTTTGACTGACTGACTTACCTTATCATTTGCTCTGGAAAGCAAGGTGACCTAAGCCCATGACACTTAGATTGCCCACAATGAACAGGCTCCCTTCCAGTCCACCCACACTGTTCAGCTCCCATATTTTAAGTTATAAGCTTAAAAAAATAAGATTAGTTGAGTTTTTGTTCTCTAATCTTTTCATTTCCATTGTAATTGTAGATGTTAGTTCCTTTTATATGTTATGCAAACTAATGAAATGTGAGTACTAGGGAGGGGAAGGAAGCAGAATTTGGCAGAGGGAGAAATTGAATGGCAATATAATGATCCCTAAGGCACTAATTAATAAATAACCTGCCCACTAAACTGCAACTCAGGATCTGCTTCCTGAGAAACCCAACCTACAACAGTGTTGCTATGCATTATAGCATTTAGCATACGGAAATAAACTGTTTATGTCCATTCAGCTTAAATAAGGTCAGACTTTAGGCTCAGGAAGATTTCATCCAAGGTATCCGCTAGCTAAGAAGAGTACAATGTCCTTTATGGGCACAGCCATCTCTTCTCATGAGCTACACTGGCTGTAACAAGAAAAGATGGGAAAACTGGACTTTTTAAAGACGAATATGCTAACAATCAAATCTTAGAGGAAAGGAAGTTTAGTGTAGTAAAGATATTTAGGGTTAAAAACATAGACATTCCCATTAAATATTAATATCAGCAGTTCTTACTACATTAGAAACTGAGATTTCACAAAGAAATTCAATATTGCAACAAAAAGATCTAGATATTTTTTAAGAGGATAAATTTAGGCAAGGGAAAGATCATTCCTCGTTACTGATGAGAAAAGAAATATGCTTGACAATAACTGTGGGTGGAGTTGCTGCTTGGTCTCCAAAGCATTCAAGATTTTAAAAAGTGGAAAAAAGTCATTATTTGAAATTTTCCATAGGGGTGACTGCTAATTATAGGGTGCTCTCTTCTGACCTAACACTCTAACCTATTTTATCTGCTGCTGGGAGAGTTTTACTGATGACTAAAATGTTTATGTAGCTAATAAAATTATTCAGCGTCACTAGTTAGAATGACAGAGATATGTTTTAATGTAGTTAGTGATAAGAAAAGTATCAACTGTTTCATTTGCAAGGAAGGGCCAGCAGAGAAAATAGGATGGAAATAGAAACATTGTAAAGCGTAACATGGAGGTAAAAAATAACATATCTCCTATCTATAAATAGAAAATTATGGTCTGCTGAAATTATACTATACATCCAAATCCTACATGAAAGGAATTATAAATAGAGAGGTTATGAATTGACATGCTGTTGCACTGAGAAATCTTCCTCACTAAGAATAGAAAGGTTAACCTGTTTCCCCTCTTCCTACTCTCCACTACCCACACTTCTTTTATCAGAATTATCTGACCATAAATTCTGATTGCTTTTTTCCTTTAGTTCTGGAACCTAGTATTAGCCTTAATTTCTCATCAGAACCATTTAAGTCAGGCATCCCTAAATCTTTTCTAATGTGTGTTTTTATCTGATTCTGGTAAAAAGGTGAGGAAGCATTGATTTCTGAAAAGGAATGCAAACTCCTAATGAGATAGGGAAGTTATGGAAGAAGCAACATTGTGTATGTTCCATGCTTCTAGGGCTTTTTGGGGAGAAAGAGGATGTACCAATTCAGTATGGCCACAGTAATGCTGTAGAGCAAGCAATCACAATATCTCAGTGGCAAACAATAAGTATTTATTTAGCCCATAAGTCAGCAGGAATTCAGATGATCTAGGCTGAGCTTTCACTGGGTGGCTTTGCTGATCTCTGTTGGGCTTAATTATACATCTGCAAGGGTGACTGAAGATCAATGGATCTAGTCTGGCCTTGGCTTGGGTGACTTAACTCTGCTTCACATATCTCTCATTCTCTTCCTGGGACCAGTGGGCTAGCCTGGTCACATGCTTCTCAAGGTATTAGCAGATATGTAAGAGGTAAAGTCTAGTCATTGCAAGTGCACCTTCGGATCATCTCACATTTGTTCACATCCCTTTGGCCAAAGCTTACCACATAGCCAAAAATACAGTCCACCCCTTTAGTGGGAAGAACTCCAAAGTCACATGGCAAAGGGTGTGGACACAAGAAGAAATAAAACAATAATAATCTACCACAGGGGAGGAGCTAAAGCAGTTGCTTTGATATCAGGACTGCCACATGTAATGATATCAGGATTGCCACATATGTTGAGTATCCTGCACAACAGCACCTGTGTAAGGGGGTTGTAGGGGCTAGAATCCAGCACACACTCTATTCCCCAAAGCCATGCACTATGGGGTTGTGTCCTTTTTCTAACAAAAGCACTGCATCAGTCAGTGAGTATACAACTACAGGAAACAGCTCTGTTTTCATTCAGTTCTACCATCTATCAGTTTCTCAAACACATATACATACATACATACATACATAAATTCATGCAAAAAAACTGAAATGTCCAAAGTTATCTTCATACCTCAGCTATCTTATTCAATGTGTCAGACACTGCTCTAAATGCTAAGATTGCAAAGGAAAATGAGTCATATATCCCACCCTCAAGCACAGACCATTGGTAGAGATGGACCTGAATTCAAATATGTTACCATAGAACTGTGGTATATGGATAATAGAACAATTTTGTGTGGGATGGTTTTGGAAAGTCTCATTGAAAAAAATGGCATTTTTATCTCAAGTTTAAAGAATGAGTATGCATTACCTGGTAACTGGAGTAGTAAAATAATGTCCAAATTTATACAATAATCAGTGACTCCATCTTTCAAATTCAAATGAGCTCTGGAGCTTACAGTACAAGTTACCTAATTACATTTTGCTAACAATTCCAAAGTAAATATTCTCACTTTAATACTTAGGGTAAAAACTAGTAGTTAGAAAGATGAAGCTAGAAATATTGCTTATTTATTTATTTAGGCGTTGTTGTTTTTTGTCTTGTGTGTTTTTTGTCTTGTTATTGTTTTTGCAAAATAACATTTAACTTTAATTTCTTTGAGCACTTAATCACATTTCTACCAAACATAACATATTTATACAAGCTACTAAATAAATTTCATTTTAACTTTTTGTACTTACTACTACTAGAGGGAAAAACAGTAGGTTATCAATAATATAGACTTTGGCATCTCTTCTTTCCTCCAATGAGCATATTAAATGTTGTCTACTTTAGACTGTATATTGCATTGGTCACATCATAATCAATTCAGGGATTTAATCATATTAAAACCTTTATTAAAATACCTAATTAAAAAAGTGAATAGAGCCAAAACCGGTTTGGCTCAGTGGATAGAGCATCAGCCTGTGGACTGAAAGGTTCCAGGTTCGATTCCGGTCAAGGGCACGTACATTGGTTGTGGGCACATCCCCGGTGGGGGGTGTGCAGGAGGCAGCTGATCAATGATTCTCTTCCTCTCTCATCGATGTTTCTAACTCTCTATCCCTCTCTCTTCCTCTCTGTAAAAAATCAATAAAATGTATTTTTTTAAGTGAATAGAGCGCAGGGACCGGGTGGCCTTCTACACATGCACATGGCTGGGTGGGCCTCCTTCCTCCTCGCCAAGCGCCACCCCCATGGTGTTCAGGCACTTCCTGGAAGTTGGCTGGGTAGCCTATGTCTCCTTTGGACCTCCTGCTGGGAAGCTGGTGGTGATCATAGATGTTATGGAGCAGAACTGGGCTTTGGTTGATGAACCTTGCACACAAGTAAGGAGACAGGCTATGCCTTTCAAATGCATGCAGCTCACTGACTTCATCCTCAAGTTCTCACACAGTGCCCACCAGAAGTATGTTTGCCAAGCCTGGGAGAAGGCAGATATCGATACAAAATGGGCATCCACAAGATGGGTCAAGAAGATTGAAGCCAGAGAAAAGAAAGCCAAGAGGACAGATTTTGATCGTTACAAAGTACTGAAGGCAAAGAAAATGAGGGCCCGAATGATTAAGCTTGAAGTTAGGAAGCTTCAAAAGGCAGCTCTCCTAAAAGCTCCTCCCCAAAAATCACCTGCTGCTGATGGCGTAGCTGCAGCAGCTGTTGCAAATGTTTCAGCAAAAAAGGTCACCGCTGCAGGCCAGAAGCAAGCGTCTCCAAATGCTCAAAAGGGTCCGAAAGCCCCAACCCAGAAAGCACCTGCTGCTCCCAAGGCATCTGACAAGAAAGCCTGAGAACATAAGGGGCTGCTATAAAAGTATAATAAGTGTTCTTTTTCACACACACACACACACACACACACACACACACACGGAAGAAACATCTTTGGCATTTAAAGCCAAATTTTGCTCAGAAAAAGAGAGAGAGAGAGAGATGGCTTGATATTGTATACATAATGGTAACAGAAGGAAGAAAAATATAATTACATGGATCTTACTGTTTTTCACCAAATTATTTATTTCACCCATTCAGCTCAACATCTTCTGAACATAGACTATACATGGCAATGATATTTAAGATGAAAAAAATAGTGGTATATACAAATTCTGAATTGTGGAATTTTGGAACAAAACCTCTGGTAATGAAAGCCATTTGAAAATAGAAAGAAATTATATCAATAGAATTGTTTGATGCATCGCTCATGTTTTCCTTTGGCAAACACTTTTTCTTGCAGTAAAAATTAAAATGAAATAATCCTCTAGGACACAAACTGTAGGCATCCCAAGGATGGCAGGTACCTTAGTGAGTACAAGGAGCACGCCCAGCTCAGGGAGTCTGCCGCCTGAGTAGTTCCAGACTATGGAAGATAGATTAGACATTGCTGACAACCATAAATTTATGGAGCTACAGAATGAGTCAAGCATAGAGTCGCAGTCATAGTCATGGGATTTAGAGGTGGAAGGAAATCCACTTGTCAAGAACAGACGGTTGTTTGTCAAACAGTTATCTGATTTAAATAGCTCTTCCTGTGCTGATACTATGGGTCAGGATAAAAGCATTGGGAGAAAACTTGGCCTGTTGACCCACAAGCACAAGATGAGCAAAAATAGGCCACCCACTTAAGCTGAGGTGATTTCAGGATTCCCAGCCTTTAACATGTCCAGCATGTGCATGCATACACACACACACACACACACACACACACACACACACACATTCACACTCATGTACACTCATTTACATATACACAATCTTACTCTAAATCTGAAAAGCACAGCCTGAAATTCCACAATTACAGAATCATTACAGTTTAAATGTTGAATTCATTCTTAGACCTAATGCAAGTAAAAATTCCTCTGGAAAATAAAAAGGGTTACTTGCCATATGATCCAGCATGCCATCCCTGGAGAAGTGAAAACTTATTTCCACAAGGACCTATACAGGTGAGTGGATGAACACACTGTGGTACGTCTATGCTACCTAGCAAGAAAAAGAAATAACTAACGATGCAAACAACATCAATTATGCTGAGTGAAACAAGACACTCTCAAAGCTCACTTTATGACTCCATTTACATGACTTCTGGAAAGGCAAAAAGTATAGGAATGGAGAACAGGGTTCAGGAGTGGGAAGCAGGGTTTTGCAAAGGAGCAACCCAAGGGGGTGGTTTGGTGGTTTTTTTAAGTGATGGAATGTTCTCTATCCTGGTTGTGGTGGCGGTTACACAAACCTACACGTGTGTTAAACTCATAGAACTATATATTAAAATGATTTTATAATATGTCAGTTTTAAAGATATTTTAAAAGACTGTGAATACCGGTCTTCAAAAGACAAAAGAGATGTATATTTAGCTACATTGTGTACCAGTAATCAGATTCTCCTCCTTCCCCCAAATCTGATTTTTATAAAGTGAGAGGGAAGAAAGATTAAGGAGGCATTTGTGGCACCTGGAGGAGGATTTGCAGAGAATGTGACATGGGTTGAAAAGAAGGCATGTGTGAAGGGAGGGTAAAGAGCAAAGAAAATGAAGTCTGGGAAACCATGGAGTTTTCTGACATCACATTTTTGCCCAAGGACCAACTCTGAGACCCAGAACCATAATAGCACTGATCCCAAAAGTTGAGCAGGTGAGATGATACTTGTTAACGCCAATGACATAGCTCCCAACTTTTGTTCTTCAAGAAAGATAAGCTGGGAAGAAGAGAGCTGAATAAAAAGGGCAAAGAGGGAGGTGAGCAAAATAAGAGAATAGAATTCGTTCCCTTTAGTACTTCCACAGTGAGTATTGCTTTCCACTGAATGTAGAGCAGAGGTGAGTCTACTGTCCTTCAAAGGCTGTGTCAAGATCACCTGTCTAACCAAATGATGTCCTGGCATTGCTGATGAGCCATACAGCCTCTTGTCAATTCTCAGTCCTTGAAAGAAAAGTATCCATCTACTTACTTTGGCAGGAGGTTTTTACAAAGACAAATAATAATTGTCAGTTAAACAAGCCTTCATAACTTTAATAGTAAGTCTCAGCTGAGTCATTTGCCTTTGGGAGCAAATGTTTATTCCATATCTAATGCTAATTTAGTGGTTCTCAACTGAAGACAATTATGCCCTCCATGGGACACTTGGCAGTGTCTGGAGACATTTTTTGTTTTATTTTCACAACTTGGAAGGATATGCTAATGGCATCTAGTGGGGATAGGCCAGGGATGCTACTAAACATCCTACAATGAATGCACAGGACTGCCTCGCAACAAAGAAGTACCTAGCCCCAAATGTTAATGGTGCCAGGATTGGAAAACCCTGTTCTAATAATACTTAAAAATCTTCCATTACCTAATTTATGTATCACCTTTCCCTGAAATAACTTTTACTCAGAGGTTTTTCTAACACATGTGTGATGTGGCCGAGGATCTGGTTAGGTTTTTTGACTTCATAAATGAAGCTGCTGATCAGCACAGGAAGCTGTGAACTAAATGCAGTTGCTCTGACTCAAAAGCAGAGGTGCTGTGAGACTGCACGCTCATCCACATGTGCTAAGTGCACTTTCCACATTTGGTACCTTTTACGGGGCCAATAAAGCCCACACTGCTTTCTCAGGATCTCACAAAGATCAATCAGTGTTCTCCATGGAAACATCTCCCAGTTCAAGCAAGGCAAAGAAAATGTGACACCTCTGTGAAAGGACAGTACTTCTTATTCCAAGGCTAATTACAGAGAAGATGAGGAGTATTTTTATGCCTCCTCAAAGCTTAAGAAGCATGATTTCCTTTCTCTTTTCAATGCAATCGCCAGAAAAACATGTTAATTTCCACTTTGCTTTTTCATTGTAGAACAGAACATGAATAGATCCAAGGAAATCACCAAGCTCCCTCCGCACTCTTTCTTGTCCTCATCAGCTCCCTCTCTCAAAGGTGCAGCTGTCCTCAGTTAAGTAATGATGAATTCCTGTTAACCTGAATGTAGAGTAGCCTATTCTCTGCATATTCCCCAAGACACAAGGAACAGGAGGCAAAGAAAACCCAAGTCACATCTCTTTCAGTGAAGGTTTAATAGAAACATTAAGTTGCCATTCATTCTCAAATTAATTCTTCCTCTACATGCTGAGTCTTCTTTCTTGCATCACAGACACTTGGGTTTTTCATATATTTCATCTCCTGTCCCATCCAGGCTCAACTCATCAGAACAAAGGTACATTATGCCCCTGCTTTGGTTCCTTGTTCAATTTCTGGTAAAGAAAGAAAGCAATGAATGGTGTTGAGTATAAATGGAGGCAGGTGTGCCACACCTTGCCTTCCATCTCTGGTCTGACATTTTCAAACACCTAATAGAAAAAATTGTGCAATAACAGGGCCCAATTTGTTGCCATTTCTAAAATGCCTACAGCATTAGATGGATGGCTAACAGCTCTAGGCCATTTCTTCCATCTACACATTATTATGAGAGCAACACATTCACTGGAATGACAAGGACATTTATTCAAAGACCACCAGCCCCAAAGGCCTAATTTTCTGCACAGAGACTCTTTTCTATAAAGGGAGTAATATTTCAGCCTGAACTTAATAGCTACCTTACTATGCTAAACTCTACAAGCTACTTGCATTTATGTCATAGTGAAGTTACCTTGGGAGAAAATGACCACCTAAAACACAGTTCTGGCTAGAAATTTCAGTCCCTGAGGATTTGGGGATATAGGATAGGTACTGAAACACATGTATTAAATCAGTAGACAGTAAGTCTGCTATTCCTGGTTCTATGGCAGGTCAAAACTGCCTTTAAGGAGTTTAAAATATAACTGAAAACATAAGATAAATATACAAATAAATATACAAATAAAAAACACTAAAACTTAATAATTTAAGAACACTACAGATGCTCTACTTATCACACATATTACTTATTGCAGGTTCTATATGATGATGGTTAAACATCAAATCCAAAAGAGCCCAACTTACTTCTGAAAGATGCAAAGAATATAATATCATATGATATCCAGATGACATCAAACACAACTCAAGTCCTGGTTTTCTGAAGACATCAAGGTATGGCAACCATACGTGGAGGATTTCTAGAGTAGTCCTAATTTTAAATATTTTATCATATTGCCAGATCCGGTGCTGATTTTCAGTTCAGAAAATATGGTCACAATACATAGAGTGAAGTGCTGGGTTCTCATCAGTTGGTTATCTCCAAACCTCACCATAGGAAGAGTTTCCTAGAGAAAGTGTTTTAGAGTTAAGGAATCCCACCATAAGTGGATAATTATCTCAAGGAAAGAAGGTAGCACTTGCTCTTTGTAACCTTGTGTTTTCAGAGATGCTTCTCACTTTTGAAACTTTGAGCACCTGAAGGTCAACCACATCACCTATCATCATGGTAGGGATTCAGAAAGCATGAGAAACAGAGTTCTTGCCTCTTGTTAGCAATGTACTTAATTAAAGAGCAACATCCCTGAGACACAATACAGACATTGTTTAAAAAAGAAAAAAGCAATGGGTATTTTTATCCTTGTTAGGCTCTTTATGACAGGGTACATAAAATGAATTGTTCTCCAATTAGCCACATAGCTCATGGCCCAAGGTTATGCTTACTTATAAAGGAAGTGAAGAGAATCTGGATTTGGAGAGAGGAATGGGTTCCTCAAGCTTGATAAATACAACAAAAAGCATCCCATTGTAAAATAGCTCCTAGATTGCTTCCACAGACAATTTCTTTTTCACATCTCCCTATTTTCTCTCAAGTGGAGGGTTTTCAAAAGAACCATTGGGTCAATAATAAGTTGGCAGAAAATGCTTCATGCTGCTTGTTCTGTCAGCATATATAGACTACTTTAATTCTCAAATGACTGT